CCCCCCCCCCCCCCAGCTACTTAGGGAAACCACGTGGATTCTAACTTCTGTTGATGTAGTCTTATACAAATATAGTGTAGTCTTATACAAATACAGGATTTTCACTGAATGAAGTTCATTACTTTCCAGTGAGTAAACTGTGCATTACAAGCCATGAACTGGAGAAATACAACATCAGACTCCTGCAGACTTCAGTTTCTGTGTTAGAGGTTGTGCGGAGGAATTCAGCCAAGGGAGCAGCTGAGCGCCTGGGACCCCTTTCCGCACTCTGGTCTGCGAGGGCTGCATCACTCCGAGTGTTGGCTGGGGGTTATTTCTGTGCTATAGGACACGTAAGTGGATAGATGATAGCACTATCGGTTGATAGTAGGTGTGTACTACCAGTACTGTCGGTTGATAGCAGGGTGTGTGTGTGTGTGTGTAATCCGATCCTGTGTTATTTAATGTAAAGCAGTATCTAGCAATTAGTTAATATGTTGCGATGACTGACTTCTGAATAGCAATGATATATGATTTAGCGTTAGATTTAACATCTGGTTTATGAAATTTTCATATGATCTTGATATTTTGTAATATATGTTCTAAAGTTACTACAGCTCCTGAGATGAATTGGCATTGCTGTTGCTGCTGTCATTTTAGGAAGCAGCACTGAGGAACTTCTAATTTTCTGTAACGTCATTTTATGAAGATTTAATGAGAGTTCTTGTGAGTGCCGGGTTCTCCAAATTATTGTTAAACAGTCTGTTTCTCTTCATTATCATCCTTTTATCCTCTTTGGCATGCGTATACATTCCTATTTGGAAACAGGTTTAAGTTACAGACTATACGTTTGTTCTTTCTTAACGTGTTTTGTAAAGCTGCAACCGATTCAAAACAATGAGTTTATTTGTTGCTGGTTTTGCGGTTTTTTTTTTTTTTTTTTTTTTTTTTTGTCGAACACTATAAACATTTTTCAAACCGATCCCTTTGAGATATGTTTGTCAATTATTCACGGTAGGCTAGTTTTAATTTCCAGGCTGCAGGATTGCAGCTGTGACCTGTGGAAGGCAGGTGGCAGTCTGCTCTTCGCAAGTCTTAGACAAATCTGGGGAACGTCACAGCTCGGGCTGTGCAGTTGAGGTACAGTTTGCTGTTAAATCTGTTGTTGTTAAAACAGCAAGCTGTTTCCATAAAAGGTTGAGGCTTTTAATTTAGTTTGCTGCGTAAATGTGTCCGATGATTTATTTAAGAAATTTGCCAGGTTACATCTAAATATAGCACATTTGCCTAACATTTGTCAGGAAGATAACAAATGTAAACCAAGTTAATGACCCCAAAACTGCAGTCTAATTAGTGTCCTGGTCTTGATTTTTTGCTAGAATATATGTTCCAGATTATAAAGCATGTAAATATTTTGTTGTTTAGTGGATATGTCTATGCATCTCAAATTTGTGTCTTCCAATTGTTTGCTGTATAAATCAACTCTTTATCTCCATAGTCATTATTTTGTATAAATATATTAATTAAATGAATCTCTACTTGGGGATCTTTTGGGAAGAAATCTGTACTTGTGTACCAGTGTATGTTAGAAAGTCAGACAACTTCAGAGGAGCTGCTGTTTGTCGGTAGCAGAAAGCCGGGGTTGATAGGAAGTCTGCACTG